ATGAAGCGGTGCATCGCCTCAGGGTCGCGAATCCCGGAGAAGTCTGCTCCAACCCACGCCTCGTCCTCCTCCGAGGAGTCAGAGTGGGGGTGGATTGGAGTTGTGACTATGGGGTTATGGGCATGACGTTGATGAATGGAGACGAGGGCGGTGGCGTAGGAGGCGGCGTCATTGGTCAGCCCAAAAGGGTACGGGGATGGCGTCGTCGCCATGCTCTACTCCGTCAGAGCTGGCTCCTCAGGAGGAGGCGGGACAGAGCTTGATGATGGGGTGTCGTTGTGCGCCACCGGCCCTTTTCCCCTGTCGAGGCTTAAGCCGGACGGGTCCCCGTCTTGAGGACTCTGTGCGCCAGCAGGTATGGGATTACGTGGAGCATAGATCGGCGTTACGTACTTGCGTGGTGTTAGGGTGGACTCGCCGCGGCGCGCCTCGGTGAGCTTGACGAGAGAGCGGCGGCACTGGGCGCCCGTCGCCGCGATGAAATTGTCGGTGCGAGGACGTCGTCGTCGGTTGATGGCGCTCTGGGTGAGAGGAGTACCATGTCGTATTTCGTGCCCTAGAGACATGAATTCTAGGCTCCGAACGCACGATCGTCCTAAGACATAACGATCGACGGGATCCGCCATCCGAATACGGTGGGATGACTAAGTCGACACGCAGAGGCCCCTACCGGCGCGCATAACCGCCGGTGTTTTGGAACCGGGGTCCTTAACCGACTAGTGAATCGTCTTTGCGTGCTCCTCCCGGATGGAGATGCAAAGAAACACAAGGTTTATCTTGGTTCGGGCAATGGATGCCCTACGTCCGGTCCCGAGAAGGTGTTCTTGTATTCCTTGCACCAGGGTGCTCGTAGTAGGGGGTTACAAGCTAGGCGAGAGAGGGAGTTCATCCCAGATCTCTGTGAGGGGAGGTGATATGAATTACAGAACGAGGCGTGTTGTTCGTCTTGAGTATCCGTGATTCTCTCGATTCGTTTCGAAACGGTCCTGGCCGCCTCCTTTTATAGCCGCAGGAGGAAACCAGGAGTACATAAGAGAGCTACACGTGGAGCAAGGACTATTCGATGATGTATTTACTCCTGGAGCAGCATGGCGTTGTCGTGGAAGTTCCCATAGATGTCTAATCGGTATGGTCTTCACTGCAAGTAACATGCTGCGCATTTATTGACTTGGTGGATTGCAGAGGCTCGGCAGCCTTCGTAGCCGGTCGTGCCGAGGCCTGTCGTGCCGAGGCCTGAGAAGTGACCCAGGTGCAGATGCGGGTCTCAGCAGCCATCAGGCGGAATAGTGCGAGACGTGCGCCTACTGGGATCTGATGTACTGTGTTGTCAATAGGGAAGGTAAAAAAGGTGATCTGACCGTTGTCCCGTCGCTCCTGTTGCAGCGCATGCCGATCGTGGCTTACGTAGTGGGTGCGGCCGAGCGCATTAATCAGATGTGACAGCCTGCTAGAGAGACTTTTGAGGCGGAGGCGACGAGGTTGTGGGACGAGCCCGGCCTCGAGCGAGGCGGAGCACGGCCGATTCGGCCCGAGGCCCTTCCAGAGGGGTCTCGAGCGAGGCGGACGGGCGAGGCGTAGTAAGATCGGTGAATCCGAGGCCCTGTCGAGGGGGGCTCGGCGAGACGGAGTGGTCGGTCCGCGATTCCGAGGCTACAGGAACCCGCTCGACTCCCCACGCTATGCGATGTCCTTGGTGCGGGAGTTAGGCGAGCCACGGTGGTCGGTAACCCCGCTCTATGCCGCCTCGAGATGGCGGGGGTTGACGCGACCGGCGTAGTGGCCCATCGCCGCCGTTTTGTGCCATCGATAAATGCCTGTCGAGTGGTTGGGCGCTGGATGTGACGTTCGGTCGAGCGGTTTGGTCAAAAGGCGGTCACGGGTTGGTGCCGAAGCCGGCCTCGCTTGAATCGGAGAATCGGCACTTCTTTCGAGGCCCCGGCGAGGGGCCTCGACGCGGGGCCCTCGGCGAGGCGGTCTCGGTAGTCGGAGAACCGTTTGCTTCATTGGGGCTCGGCGGACGGGTCTCGGGCGAATCGGAGATTTCGCCGAGACCTCGTTGTTTATTCCGTTGGTTGTTTTTAGGGTTTAAGCAGTTTTTCGATCTTTGCTTGGGGTACCCCATTTTCTGGTATCCGACACTATGCCAAGTAGTTTCATCTATATGAAACTTCTTTCTTCTCTCTTTATCATTTCGTTACTTTGTCAAGTAAGCCCTTGTTTAGTTCGCGAAAAGTTTTTCCAAAAAGTGCTACAGTACTCATCACATCGAATCTTACGATACGTGTATGGAGCATTAAATGTAGATGAAAAAAACTAATTGCACAGTTTGGTTGGAAATTGCGAGACGAACGTTTTGAGCCTAATTAGTCCATGATTGAACACTAATTGTCAAATAAAAATGAAAGTGATACAGTAGCCAAATTTCTAACTTTTCGCGAACTAAACAAGGACTAAACACTAATATGGCAATAATGAAAACGAAATGTCCATTTTCGATCAAATAACGTGTCCTGTGCAATCTTAACCTCATCATAGGGATCATAGCAGTACATTGATTCAAATCAGCATATATTTCCGCTTATATTAGATAGAAAAGGTCTTATATTTTCCATAGTTTCAAATCTGAGGGACTAGAACTACGTCTAAACCCACAATAGCATTAGTACCAAAGACAATCTATTTTCGCTGCGTCTAAGATTAAATTATAAATATTTGTGGTCATTATACAATGTTGGCTATTGGATGGGCCAGTTTAATTCGAAAAAGTAAAAAACGAATTGGATAAATAGGTCATGGGCTTTGTTTGTCGCGGTGGAAAACTCGGGCCATTGATGGGCTGCGCCCAAGAAACGAGAGAAAGGGCAGAAGGGGCCGGTCCAGGGAGGAGAATGGAGGGAGAAACCAATTTTAGATTTGATTTAATTAAGGATTTGGAACTGGAACTCATTTGAATCCCACTTAAACATGATATCTATAAATCATGGTAATTTCAAATTGGTCCCCAAGAAACTTGGATAGAATATTTTGGGGGATTTATCTTATCTTCATTAAGCACATTTTATTACATGCACAAGGAGAAGTTATATGCAATTGACTTTCAAAATAATTATTTAGAGAGTGAGTTTTATAAAGATTCTCGAAGATGCTCTAACCCCGGGATGTTTCTAACGATGGTTTCTACAAAAGACGTCATAGAGCAACAACATTTTACTCAGTTGTAGCGCAGTGCCACCTAAGGGCGTGATTGGTAGCCTTCCCTGTCCAACCTGTCTCGCATCCCGCGTCCAGGCCGAGGCAAGGCATAGCTGTTTGGTTGAATGTGTCCGCAGCGCCACGAAACAAGCAGCGGCTGTTTGGGTGCAAGAGATTTCTGAGCACCAGTACACATGGGTGAGCCACGGAGCGACGACAGCGAGCGCGCGCCGTGCATCGAGCGAGCCAGGCTCGATGGAAACGAACCCCAGCCACGTTCCTGCTCAGCCTGGCCCGGAAGGGAATCTAGCATCTGTTGAGCCTGGCTCCAGATCCGGTCCAGGAAACCAACCTGCATCAGATGGGCTAGGCCGGTGCCTATGCAGGCACTAAACACGCCCTAGAGTTCGATCTAATTCTCTCAACTCAAATTCACGAGTCCATTTCTCGTCGACGACGTAAACTGCCTAGGTTGGATTTAAAAATTAATAGTATGATTTTGTTCTTTGGAAATGTCCCACGGTTTGCAAAAGAGCTCCCAAAAGAGAGATGCGTCTCGTACCGTACGTCCAAACACCGGCCAAATAAAACGCACCTGGATAATCGACAACACAAGCACAAGAACGAAGACAATTCGTTTGACAGAAGATCAGGTCCCAGCCGGTTCGGTTCACCAATTTGCAGACAAGTACAATTGGCTGTAGTCAATCAAACACTAGCACGTTATTTCCATCTTCAGAGTACGGTCATCGAAAAAAACCCTGCTGGGCCTTGTTTAGATTGCAAATTTTTGCAATCTGGACACTGTAGCACGTTTTGTTTGTATTTTACAAATTTTGTCTGATCATGGACTAACTAGGCTTAAAAGATTCGTCTCGTGATTTACAACCAAACTGTGCAATTAGTTATTTTTTTTACCTACATTTAATACTCCATGCATACGTTCAAAAATTAATGTGATGGAAAGAGAGTGAAAAAACTTGGAATTTGGAGGTGGTCTAAACAAGCCTGATTCTGAATACCGCTGGAAACCGACCCCAAGAAGCTACGCAAATGCTTTCAGTTTCTTTGTCTGGGTGCTCCCAACTACTCACTTTGGCACTATGCAAAAAGAAGATTTTCCATCACATTAAACTTATGGTACATGCATGGAATACTAAATGTAGATAAAATCAAAAACTAATTACACAGTTAGGTTGTACTTTACGAGATGAACGTTTTGAGCCTAATTAGTCAACGATTAGATAATTATTACCAAATACAAACAAAATGCTGAGGTGTGCTGTAGTGAAACCGGCCGCGTAAACAAGGGAAATTCTGCTACGGCACGCAATTGTTGGAAAATACAGCATCGAGCTTCGAGCAGAACTGAAGAAACCGAAAACTCAGTATCAATGTCAGTGTCACTCACCAGATACACTATTTTTCATCAGTGGCTGCAGAAGATGACACAAAAGGGCAACTTGTTCCCAATTTCCTAGCGACTGTATACCTAACCTGAAAGCACAAATCCTTTTCGAACATCCCAACTGGGCCTTGTTTAGTTACATTCAAAATTCTAAGTTTTTTCATTCTCTCTCCATAACATCAATTTTTAGCCGCTTGTATGAAGTATTAAATATAGGTAAAAAAAACTAATTACATAGTTTAGTTGAAAATCACGAGATGAATCTTTTGAGCCTAGTTAGTCCACGATTGGACAATATTTGCCAAATAAGACGAAAGTGGTACTATTTATCAGGTTGAAAAAACTTTCAATCTAAACATGGCCTGGAGTAGTATACTGCTCTGAATCCAACACAACACCTTCATTGCTGGTTCGTCAGCGCGGCTGACTCCTTGTACAGAGGAACATACGGGACAGGAAGCTCATCGCCGAGATCGCCGCCACCGGGACCGAGATCAGCGACAACACGCACCTCCCTGCGATCCATGTCGTAGGCCACCAGCTTGCGGTCCCAGTGCCGGACAAAGAACACCCAGCTCCCATCCGGATGAACAGCGACGATGCTGTACTCGACGCGGAACTGGCACGCGATCCTCCCCCCGAACAGCTCCGGGAACCCGACGGCGTGCCGGAGCACCCACTCCCCGGCGTCGTAGTCCTGGAGCACCCACACAAGCATCCTCAGCGGCGCCTCCTCCGACAGCCGCCCGTGCGGCGGGCGCACGCACATGACGTAGCGCAGCTGCCCCCCCTCCCCCCGCGAGCCGGACCCGCGGGCGACGAACACCGAGTGCCAGTCCTTCTCCACCACGTCCCGGCGCGGCAGCGGGATGGCTCTTCGCGTGCGGCCCTCCGCGTCCACGGCCACCAGGTTGTTGGGGCCCGACGTGCCGTCGGTGTCGACCACCAGGTGCAGCGCGCGCGCGGCCACGGCGGCGCCTGTCCCCGGCTGGATCAGCGCCATGCCCCGGCCCCAGTCCCGCCACCCGCCGTCGCGCCAGGCCCCCGCCCTGTCGACCCACGCCCCCGTCGATGACGAGTAGGTGTGCACCGCCCGCACCGAGTCCATGTCGTCGAGCCGGAACTGGAGCAGGTGGAACTCGTGCGGCGAGGAGGAGGCGTCGAAGAGCAGGTACGTGAGCGCCGTCCGCTGCGAGGCGCTGGGGACCCAGCCGGAGCCCGGCACCGCCGCCCACCGCGCCGTGGCCGGGTTGCAGACGAGGTAGCACGCCGGCGGGTGGAGGTCGGGGGCCTCATGCCTCCGGGCGCGGGCGAGTAGGATAAGACCGTCGCGGGCGTCCAGGATCGCATCGCGGAACCCCTCGGCGTCGTCGGGGGGAGGCGGCAGGAAGGACAAGGAGGCGTCGGGGAGCGGCTCCGCCATCCCGGAGACGTTGACGAACCGCCGCCGCCGAGTGGTGGTCTTCTTCCGCTCCGGGACCGTGGCGTGCGAGCACGTGCGCCGCGAGCTCTCGGCGCCGCCGTGGACAGCGACGCAGCAGCTCTCGCACGCGCTGGGGGCGGCGGCGGCGACGTCGACGTCGGCGCAGAGGAACCCAGCGAGAGTCTGCGCGTACCGCTGGCGGTGGAGCGGGTCCGTGACGAGGCCGCACCAGGCCGTGGAGACGCACTTGAAGCGGTGGAGGGAGTTGGCCGGGAGGAGGCCGAACATCTCGACCAGCGCGTCGTCGGGGACGACGCAGGGGCCGGGCGCCGCCGCGCGGTGCTTGGGGGGGCCCGGGCCGCCCATGCCCTCCGCCTGGCGTGGCGAGACACGGATTGGAAGGGGGATCGGCTTAGCGGCCGCTGGTGCCCGCGGAGAGGGTGGGGATCGCCGCCGGTTGTCAGCGAGGAGGAGAAGCAACCAGAGGGGAAAAGGATAAAACAAACAGTGAGAAAAAATCAGTGAGAGCCAAGAGTGAGGAGGAGACACGGCCACGTCTTTATTTTATTTTGCTTGTGCTCATGGTGAGGTGTTGACTGCGCTTTGGGGTGTTGCCGGCTGAGTTCGTTGCTGTCTGCGTGACTCGGAGAGGAGGAGGCAAATTCGTGACACGACGGCATCGTCACTTTCAGCTTGACGCGGCAGATCCATGGAGTCCGACGATGGACGCATCATCCACGGAGTGCCATAGAGCTCGGTCACGCCCACGATCCCACGTACGTCAGGACTGTTATTGACGCAAATCGCCAAACTGAGCCATTGTTTGCTACGTACCAAAGCAAGGGCGCTGGTATGTTTGGCAGTTTGCACTTAATTTGTGTGATGAAATACCAGTTAGAACACTTTGTTTAGACATCTGTCTCATCCTAGCCGATGTGCCACGTCACTCTCTTTGGTGTGTTCGTCTCCTCGGTCCTCGCAGCCACGCAGGCCTGGTTTGCCACCTGCTCGTCGTCTTCGTCCCAGGCGCGGGCCTTGCTGGCCCAGGCTACTTAGGGCCCAACGCAGGCGGTCATGGGTATTAGCCTCACTAAAAGATACTGAGCCACGTAGATCGAGGCAGCTAAGATTTTTTTATTCCTCAACACATACTTATCTCCGTTTGTGTTTACTTGCCAGTAACATTTTACTGTAACAAATTTGACCATCTATTTTTTTTTCTAAAAAAATCTTAAATACTTCAATGTATATAACACTAATGAAGTATGTTCAATAAAGAATCATATATGTGAAAACTTGATGTATCTAAAAATCTTTTACAGAAAAAAGCATATGGTAAAATTTGCTACACTAAAAAATTGCTGACAAGTAAACGAAAACAGAGGTAATACTATAATTTCTATTGAACGTGGTCCTGCCAAGTGCAGGCTGCATCAGGCAGCTTTTTCATTCCGGACTGAACTGGTCCTGAAAAAGTAAGGCCCTTTTTACCTCCTAAAAATTTTCACCCCAAAACGTCACATCGAATCTTACGGCAAAGTATTAAATGTAGACGAAAAACAAAACTAATTGCATAGTTGGATGAGAAATCGTGAGACGAAACTTTCGAACCTAATTAGTCTATAATTAAACACTAATTACTAAATACAAACGAAAGTGTTACAGTAGCCAAAATCAAAAAAATTCACCATCTAAACGCGCTCTAATGTTAGATTTGTGTGCCTCCTTGCCACAATGCTAGCTCCATCCATTGTCTTCAACTTTTGTCAGCCAAGGAGAACGTAGCTGCTGCAAGCATACCTGACACTCTGACGAGCTATCAAACCCTGTGACTTGGAGTGTTAGATGGGACGTGGCATATGGGGTAGCACGCCCCCGTGGTGCGTTGAGGACGGCCCGGGCTTCCCAAACGCAGCACCGCGGCGTGCTGCCTCAATGGCCACCTCGGCTGTAGACTTCCATATCACAGGGAGTTATAGCCTCGTACAGTATCATATTGTCTTGCAAATCTAACAAAAGTTAGAAGCAACAACTAGGAAGCGTGTTGTGGTGGAAGTAGTGGCTCTAGACTGTTGGGACCACGTCTGCTTCGTGCATTTGGCTCCAAATTTTCTCTGTCCGGGACTGGGCAGTGTGCAGACAGTGGGACCCCCGAAGAGACAAGACACATGTGGCTTGCGTTGAGTGAAGGGTGGTCTTAATCCATCAGGCGTACGAGGAGGGTGTTCTATTTCTGGGGCTAACACTGCTAGGTGCCCGCGTTGTTGCTGCCCTTAGGAAGCTCCAGTGTGCATGCAAAAATGAACCGAGGGAAGAGAATGCAGGTCGTGCCGACCCGCGGGCCACAGAATGCCAACGCCCCAACAGAGGGGAAGCAGACGCTCGAGGCTGCCTGGGGTACGGGCGTACGATGGGGCGTGGCCCCGGCCGCGCGGGGGCGTCGAGGAGGAGGGCGGCCGCCGGCGCGCTCGAGGCCAGTGCTGGGGCGTGAAGGAGGTGACCGGTGATGCAGGAGACGCAGATGTGGTGGTCATCGGTGTAACAGAACCGACCAATTATACGAGATTAAGTAAAGAAATCTTCCGCCGAAGCAGATAATTTAGCAAACTTAAGCCCGTATAACCCGGTAGTCCGTGAAACCACGAAGGATTTCAAACCAATCGACATACAAACCAAGATCATACAAGTTTAGCAAGTAATGTCACACGTTACATAAAGTTCGCAATCACAGTTGGGTACATCAGAGTAGAATATAAAGTTATTACAACCCAGTTCAATCTGAAATTGCGAAAGCAAATAGTTTTAAAGCCACACACACATTTTTAGTTCAGATACAATGCCAGTAGGTAGTCATCTCCAACAAAAGCATCAGATGAGAGATACGGAGTGACCATTGCCCTTGGTCCTAGTTGTCACCCATCGCCGGGTACAGGCAGTTAATGCAATAGCCGTAGTATATTTGACCATCTACAACAACAATGGGAACAACGCCCTGAGTACGAGAAGGTACTCAGCTAGACTTACCCATCTTAAACCAAAATAAAGCGACACCAAGGATTATGCAAGGCTTTCTTTAGTGGGCTAGCTGACTTGTTTGCGAAAAGCATAAGTTATCATGAAGACATCATTTTAAATACTTTACATCATCTTTATTAGGACCTATCCATCTAGGTAAGCACCTGTACTATAGCAATCACTTGATTAACCAATAACATTCAGTTACCAATTTAGATTTAGCATATCCTATACCATCTAGATAACCATCATTGTTCCATAATAATTACTACGATACCGTAGCTCGAGTCAAGTGCTCACTATCCAGGAGCGATGGCGATTCGAATCGATTCCTAACCAGCTAGTGATTTATTCCTCACACAAACCATGCTTCCCCTGCCAGGGTAGCTTAGATCACCAAGGACACTATTTAGGTAGTCGCGGGACAATCTGGAGCCGCAGTACCCAGGGACCGCCTGACTGCCAAGAATCAGGGCGCACCTGCCCTTGGGCTCACTCTTCGCGTCCCTGTCATACCCCCATCAGCACCAATACGCGCACTCGTGTAGATCCCGGCCCGAATAGTGCCACTAGCTTCACGGTCGAAAGGTACTTTATCCGGCCAGCTAAATGTGAGGCATGCGTTCAACATGACAAGAGGGACGAGCAACGATCGGTCCTTAATCGACACAGACGGAAACTAACAGCACCCCAGAACCCTATCTGGTTGCCTCCAACTTTTTCGTCCGGTCTCCAATTATCCATCACATGGTTAATTCCAGGATATCAGTCTTTCCATAGCTAAATTCTTTCAGTAACCACCTATAATGTAGGTGACCGGATATCACCGATCGCTACCGGTCTAAGTAAGGCTAAGCAGTTATTCGATCCTGACCTAACAGGGTAAAAAGTAATAAGGTAGGCAAGGATAGTAATAAATACATCAACGGTTTCAATCAACTCCTACAACTTAATGCAATAATATATAAACTCATATATATAGAAAGAATTGCTTTTATAAATTAGGAGACTTATAATGCTCCGGGGCTTGCCTCGTTCGAATGAACTAGGTTGATGATCCACGCACTCGGGCAAGTCCTCTTCTTGCTCCTCTTCCTCTAGCACCTCCTGTGTCTGGACTTCTTGTGGATCAGTCCCGGTCTGCTCTTCTTGAACTACAACTAGCAACTCCTCCTGCGATCCTGTATGATGTAGATGTCTAAGTGCTCATGCATAGGTGCATCGAAGGGATGACATGTAACGATCATGATGCATGGAATGTAGATGAACATGTTTAACTTTATTAGACATAGTAGAAGTAAAGCTCTTCTACAAGGTAGCCAACATCATCCAAGAACATGTACTACTATACTACTACTACAACCACTGTACTAACATGCCAAGTCACCAAAGCAAGCTAAGATGCTTCAAAGATACACCAACCAAACATTATTAACTAAACATGCATTAAAGAAGATTATTTTATTTCATTTTAAACTAGGGCTACAACAACATATATTTCTAGTGCTCATAAAAATCTAAGAAAATTACAGTAGCAGAGTACTACTCTCAGTAGACTAGCATAAAATTTTCATGCATTTGGATAAGTAAAATAGCCTACACAAAAATGACAAGCTATGGTTGATAATTAAGCATGAAAATACTTTATACTATGAAAAGTGTCAAACAACAGATTTAGTATTTTTCCTATGTTCTACACAGTAAACAATCACTGCACAAAAATTATCATACACATGTTTTATACAATTTTTGCTCTCTATCAAAATAACAAAAATCATCAATTAAAGGCACTTGAACTACACATCAATATTTCTCTACAGAACATGCATGACATATATTTTTCCTACAAAGCACATCACTAAAGAAGATTAACAAAACTGGAACCATATTTTCTGATGTATATTCTATTTACTAGACATTTTCTAAGAAATCAGCATTTATTCAATTTAAATAAAGCTACACAGAAAAGTATCACAAATTTGACATGCAATATTTTTAACAGATAGATCTAGTCACAAGAAACCTAGCAAAACTTATTTCAACAAATTTGGAGCCATTTTGAGCAAGTTATAAATTTCCAAAGCATTTAAATAGAAATCTGAAAATCATTTCTTAAATTCTTTCTGAAAATCCATGCTCAAAGCTGCTAGATCCACCCAGATCTCCACCCAGGCTTGCACCCCTGCGGCTGACAGTGGTCCCCACGGTTCAGCCGGCCCTAGCTGCCAGCCTCACGAGACAGGGGAGGCGACAGACCGCCAAGATCTCGCCGACGGTGAGGTCTCAGGCCCGGTGAAGGTGACCGACGTGCTCCCCACCCCCGTGCGAACCCAAGGGTGCTTGTGGCATGG